TGAAAAAGAATGCTTGATGGAATGATGAAGAGGAAGAAAAAAAAAATGAGAATGAATGCATAAAAAGAATGATTATTGCAAAAATGAGGATGAGAGAAAGTTTCTGTGTATTATGTATACAGAGAAAAAAATAGATGCAAAGACTGTAAACAGAGAGAGCAAGGAATAATTCAAATTTAAAGGGGAGAAAATGCAGAATGATCAGGTGAAAGTAAAAATATGATTCAGATGTAAGTAAAAATGTTTTTATGTTTTGTTTTAGAGCACTAAACATGAAGCTTCCAGCAGAGTAAATGGAATTGAAAATAAAAGTGATGAAATGATTTGAAATAAAACTTAGGGGAGAGAATGCTGGAAGAAGTATTTTAGAGCTTTGTGTAGGAATGATAGCTAGTGCCCAGGAAAAAATGGATAAAAAAGGGGTCAAAAATATTATGAATGTGAAAATGTTAAACAATGTTAAGGCTGTTTTTAATGTAAACTTTTATTTTTATATTATTTATTATGAATACTTTTATGCGGCTTCAGTCACCCAACTCCATATGTATACTGTATACTCCCATTGGGGGAGATGGGCGGCATACAAATTTGAAAATAAATAAAAAATAAAAAAATAAAAAAATACTAATACAAACATAACACTGGAATAATTTAAAATCTCTACAGTGTAGATAGATACATAGTATACAATATAGTATATGCTAAAGGTATATTTTAACCTTCATTATAAAGGTTGAAGGTTATAATCTTCATTATAAATGTTCAGTCAATTATTCAGGCTTGAGATTTAAATTGAATCTGACAGATTGTTTTCATGTTAAGAGGCTATTTACTATTTATTTTACAGTTGAATAGTGTCATTTTGCTATATTGTTTATTGTATGGAGCTTTGGTCTATGACCATGAACATACACAAACAGACACATGTTATTTAAGGCTGGTGATGTAGTCGACATAACAGGAGAAATATTAACAATGAGCGGTCTATGCTTTATGGCTTTCTGTGGGTGAAGATTATATCTCTGCCCAACAAGAGTCTGATTATTGTTCGCCATACAGATGGAAAGGTAGCAAGAATGAATGACGAAGCTACAGGGATTTATTAAGTGTGCCTGGAAGGTGTTTTGTAAATTTCTGATTGAAAGCATTCAAGAGGTGATACTGAATTTGAAATCACAATTTTAAAAATGCAGTGCAGCTGTATCCCAGGCAGGGGGTGTGAGGACCAATTTTTTTGCTCTTCCAGTTTTTTTGCTCTTCTGTGAGAGATGCTTGAGTATGAGAATATGCACCGTGCTTATTGCTGCACATCCCCAAAAGGCATCATGGGTATGTTTGTAGGTGTCCATGCGTGCAAGTATATTTATTTTTATCCAAATTTGGGTCATCTTTTTGTGGTGATTTATTTCCTTTTTTTGAACTACTTTAGTATGTGACTATCATATGGATGTACAATGGACTGTTGGCATTTAGTCTTCTCTTGGCTAATACTAGACCTAGAAGTCAACAGGCAATTCAAGAATGTGGCTTCTAATAGCACCACGATAAACAATTGTTGATGATGATGCTATCCATTCAATCACGTCCAATTCTCGGTAATCCTATGGACCAGCTCTCTCCACATTTTCCAATCTTTTACAGCTTCTTTCAGTTTTTTTATGTTCTGGTTGGTGTCGGCTTTGAAGGTGTCTAGCCACTGTCTTTTCTGGTGGCCTCATTTCCTTTTACCATTCCGAACACTCCTTTTCCAGTGAGTTTGATTGCATGACATGGCTGAAATAAGTAAGATGGAATTTTGTGATTTTGCCTTCCAGCAATATGTCTGGTTTTATACGCTCCAGAACTTGCTTGTTTATCACCTTTGCTGTCCAAGGAATGCGCAGAAACGTTCTCCAACACCACAGCTTGAATGAGTCGATTTTTCTCCTGTCTAGTTTTTTCATGGTCCAACTTTCACAACTGTAAGTAGCTATGGGAAACACGATAGTGCAGACTACAACTATTAGTTGCAGATAAATACATTACATAAAAATCTATAAGGTACTAACAAGATTGATTCCATGGCAGAGGGGCTATCAATATCAGCCCTTTATAGACAATGATGCTAGATACACCAGAGGTTCATTCGTTGTGTGAGAAAATAAAATAAAATAAAATAAAATACTGCTTAATAATTAAGGAAATCGGAGACACTTTGAATACGCTAATGTTCAGAACAGGATTCAGCCTGCCTACAGCCAGGAATTTACTCATATTTCAAAACAGAGCCATACTTCCAGAGAGCAACCAGGTAAATATAAATTTTACATAAAATACGGATCAAAATTCCATTAAGTATTTTGATTGTGTTCTGCAATATATTATGTGTGCATATTATAGGTTTTTTACCCATTCATACCAAGCTTCTCAAAAATAAAAGAACTGCAGCTAAAGTCAGAAGAAAAAGAGAACTGTGTGTAGGCACAAATGATATTGGCTCTAATAAAATAAATAAAGCCTGGAGTCATGGCTCCATTATAACTTTAGATATGCAAGTAACTTTAGTCCAGTAGCTATTTGTTTTTTAAAGGGCACCCTAGTCATGGAGCTGGACATGACAATCAAGGAGTAAGACAGAACAGTTCCTGTCATTGGGGCAAAAATTCAGCTATGTTTTCTCATTGCTGTGATCCCAATAAGGTACTTCCTATTTCAATTTCTGGAAGCGCGCACACACAGACACACACACACGCAAGCAAATTCTACCAGCAAATTTCTCTGGGCCTTTACCAAAGATTGTTCATGTACTCCAAGGTTATAAAAAACTTTCCTTCCTTCCAATTATTTACTTTCAGGTTGCTTTTCCATACTTTGCTCATCAGACTATGCACTTTCTGAAAGAGATTATGCGCAGGATAATTTCCCCTGAGCAAAATAGAAAATGTTTCCAGAAAGAAACCTTTATGAGCATCAAGTGGCTCTTGGAGGAATGCAGAGAAACTTCATGAAAGCTTATTCCAAAGAGACTTATGTATGTTAATAAGTTATGCACTTTGAATGTATGCTAAAAAAGTGTTCATTTCTGAATATAGAGGTAGCTATTCTTGCTCCTTGTTCTTGGGAAATATGAGTATAATGAACATGTATTTCTCTTTCCAGTGAGTAAGTGCAGCCAGCCAGTTCATAAGGGAGAATGACTAGATAAGAGTTGGGAACTGGCATTTTTTTAAAAAAATATATTTTTACAAATTAAATGAATTAGCCAGGCACTGATCTATTATATTAATTGATGCTTTTGTATTTGGCTTGTAAGAATGGAAGGGTAGATTGGTGAGATACTTATTCCTGTGATTTTTATTTCCTACAGCTCACTTCCTATTTCAGTTAAGCTCCTTGTTTCCCCCCTCACTTGCTCACAGAATTTTTCTTCCCACCAACCTGCCCAGTCTCTGCTTAATTTTGCTGGACTCCTCTCTTTCACTCTGTGTGATCTGGCTCCTCACACATTTGCCATTCTCTATCTATATCCTGAGTAGATGCATAAAAGCACCATCTCACACACCAGTGACAAGGAGAAAGATTGTTGTCTTAAAAGAATAAAGGTATTTTTTTGCCTATTCCTAGGACTATTATGTCCATAACAGGGAAGAGTAAAAAGGGGAGGCAATAATACAGCTACCCTTGATGTGTGAAATTGCCACTACAGTAAGTTTGACAATCAAATTATATCTGATGAATGATGAAACATTTATTTAACACTCATTCATTTTTATATAGTGAAGAAACTGTTAAGGAAACTTATCTGTACCAGGATCACCATTTGTGGTTTTGAAATGATTAAGCCTATCTCTCACTGTGCTTCATTTCTGAATGTCTCTCCATACAAAAATTAAAAGAAAGGGAAAAGTTCTCCGCTGGCATCAGTGAAAACAAAAGGAATCACCAATTTGGCACTGTGCTGATAACTGCTCTGGTAACACACTTATCGATCTGATGATAACACAGAATTTACATCTATGGCTTGTCATGGTGACATAGGTGAAACACTGAAGTAGAACTTTCTATTTTTAATCATCCCTTCCTCTTCTAGATCCAAGGTTGGTATACAGTTGTGCACTGGCTGGGCATAACCAGAATCTGGGGAAATCTACAATGTAGGAATATATATTTAAAAAAAAATAATAAGAGTGGTATTCTGGTGTGGGCTCAGATCTCATGGCTCTACCTTCTTTGGGTATATGTTGCCTGGTGGAACAGCTTTCTTCATGACATCTCTCAGGCAATTCCACTGGCATAATCTTCAGAGGGATATATGATCCTCTTGGGTTGTGAGACTCCTATCAAATCCTTAATCAGTAAAACAAGAATCTAGCACTGAGCTTTTTCAAGAGGGTTGGACCATTGAGCAACAACAAGAAGCCAGGAGACATGGGCAATGGAATTCCAAATCCATTCTACTGCTAGCTATATTTATTTCCATAATAAAATAAAGTAAAATCTTCCTGAAGTCCTGCTCAACTGCTAATGACTTCATGGACCCATCCCATGTTTTCTTTTACATGTATGGTTTGCCACTGCTTTCTTCTAGGATGTTTTTCCATGTCCTAATACAGCCAACATCCCTGAGATTCCCAGGTGAGACGCCATCCAAGTACACCAGGGGCACCTTTGCTTAGCTTCCAAGATCTGCTAGATGCTACAACCTCCTGTGGCATCCTGGACTTTGCCCCACTTTCCTATAACCATGACAGAAATGTTCCCTGATGTCACCTTCCTTCTGCCACGTCCTGGGGATGCTGGCTTCACGTCATCTTGTGTGACACACTTCAAGGCGTCTTTAGCTACACCACTGTTAAATCAGAATTTTCCCTTGGACAGTCTCCAAAGTTTGCTTTAAGGTGCGCAAAATTCTTGGAGGAAGGTCAGGTGACTCAAGTGACCGGGAACCGGGGCAGAAGAGGGAGGGGACAGCAAACTGCATGTTTTCTGCCTACTTAGTGCCGTGCAGACAGCAGTTCAACCCCGGCAGTGGAGAACGGCCCAGAGCTTGCTTCCTTCGCTGTCCCTGTAGGCGTTTATGTACCGTACTTGTCTGCCTGGTCCCTTCTCCCTCGCTCGGCCTGATTTCACTCCACGTTCCCCGTCCCCTGACAAGGACTCACACAGAAGGCGTGTCCTCCCGGGCGGCTGTTGCGAGCTGGCGGTTGCTGCCGCTGCGGAAGGCAGCTTAAAGCTATAAAAGAAGTGATCGGCTGCCGGCTTGAGCCGCACTTCCCGCCTCTGCTTTCCTCAGAAGGACTTGGAGCCGGTGCCGAGCAGAGCCGCGGAGCACCGCCCGCGTGTCTGGGGGCGAAGAGAAGGCGAGGGGATGGCAAAGCCATAGAGGGCGCTGGGCAAGCCTCCATGCGTGGTCTAGCTGCCTTTGCAACATGCTGGCACTACAGATCAGCTAAAAGGAGTTTGCACACGGCTGTTGGAGCTGGATTGCAGCGCTCTCTTTCCTTATGAAGAAGACACAAGTGAGTATCCAGTGAGGAAGTTTTGCGCCCCGGCGGGGGCATGATGATGATGGTGGTGGTGGTGGTGGTGGTGCATGGATAGACTTATGCAGCGCGGAAGGCGGGCGGGATGTGCGCTCTGCGGGGGAAGGATGAAGGCGCCGAGGGTCCAGGCAAGTGGAAGTTTGGCGGGGAGAAAGGAGTGGGTTGTTTTCCAGAACAGCCGGGCGAGAGACCGCGTTCCCTTCAGCAGTGAGGCTGCCGATTTCTTGCAGAAGCGCCGCTAACTTTTTTCTCATCTGCGCGTGGACTGGCGTGGCGGAGCGTTGTAAGCCGCCGTGTCCCCCACCTCCCGTTTCTATCCCACGGACGCATTCAAGGGGGCAGGCAGGTAGAGGAGAGGGCATCCTGGTGACGACGGCTTGCCCTGTGGCAGAGGGCAAAGGCATTCTTAAGGCCACTGGGGCTTCGATGTGCCTGGTCGAACCCCTTCTTTGCCCTGGGAGTACGTGGTCGGATACTAAATAGCAAATCATTCTTCACAGATAGGGTGAATCATGAATATATTAGATCAGTAAAGAAACTGAAACAGCCCAACACCAGTCAGAACTAGGAGCTAGAAATAGTGCTTGTTTTTAATAGTCATGCAAAGAGTGCCTGTTTGGGGTACCCTTTTCTCTCTGCTTTCGTCTGTCATTGCCCCCCCCCCTTTTTTTTTTCATTCCAGATCTAATACATCCCTTTCTCTACAGGCTGCATATTGTGCCATACTTTCTTTCCACAAGATGACAGTGGCTGTGAAGCCCGCATTTTGAGTAAGAGAGGAGTAGGAATTGGAAGAAGATTGCTGTACAGTTTGTTTCAAAATGACAAGGAATTGCTTCAAGAATGAGCTAAAAGGGTATGGGAGCCTAAAAGAATGTATGTCCAGGCTCTCTTGTGGTAGATGACAGACAGACAGACAGAGAGATATAGATAGGTGGGTGGATAGGTAGATAGGTAGATAGGTAGGTAGATAGATAGATAGGTAGGTAGGTAGATAGATAGATAGATAGATAGATAGATAGATAGATAGATAGATAGATAGA